TAGTCGCTTATAGCACGGCTCACACTACTGAATTTTTAGTTGTGCGATAGTTTTGTGCAAGGTGTATAAAGTGGACTGAAGGCAGGCGTACCTGGTGCAGGAGTTGATGTCGGTGCCGTCGGCGGAGTCGGGCCACACGCCCAGCGTGCTGAAGGTGATGGGGCAGCTGGCGGAGGCCCACCTCACGTCGCGCATCGACGTCGGGTTTGTAATCTGACGGCATGTTGTCGCGTTCCCTAAAACAATTATTTTTCTATACTAATATAATAAAACGTGAACACATTTATTATGTCAGATATAAAGAGATGCAAATTATTCTGGACTTGAAACATTTTTCACATAATGACAACTAACGCCATCTATCGATAGATCCTCAAATTCAACGTAAGATGTACGTACTCACGACGTTTTAGGCTAAATATTTTCAATCTATGAAACTTAGGGGATGAGTATGTAAAAAATTGCTCTACAAGAAAGGGACAACAAACCAATACTGTCTAAATTGGTATGGTTTACTAATTTCTTAGCCAAAACAAGCCTACATTGCAATTTTACATTTACTATGAAAAGATTTACGGAATATAAACAATACATTACAATCTAGGTAAGAGTATTCGTAAATTTAAGAGTAGCATCATTTTATTACGTTTAGAGAAACTTAGAAATATTGAGTTTCAATCAACGTAAACATATCTAATGAAAAATATACTTACAGAACAATAATTCATAATCTCCGGAGTTACTCCTTATGTACTGGCTGTCCTCAGACCAGTCCAAATGCGTTATGTAACTTGAATGACCCTAAAACAATATATAACAATTAAAAATATATAAAAGTAAATAAACACACGTGATTTCTTATTACTACGGAGCTATTGCAAAAGCTCTACTATTATTTTACTGCCTATTCTACAGTAACACTATACTAGCTGTTGCTCGCGATTTCGTCTGCGTTAATTAAAAAAAATATAGCCTATGTTACTTACTGATATTTTAGCTTTTTAATATTGAAAGAATTTTTGAAATCGGCCAAATAGTTTTTGAGTTATTACAATACATACAAACATCCAAAAACATAAATCTTTCCTCTTTATAACACTAGTATAGATATAGATTATTCTACTATTATAGACTATGGTAGCTTGCTATTATCTAGAATAGTGTCTAAGCTGTAAATTTCATTTATTTTTTATACTATATCTAAGAAGCATAAATTTATAAATATCTTTAGCAAAATAGCTGTTTCAATACAATTAAAAAAATTGAATCTTAATGATTTAAATTACTATGTTATAAAATATAATACGATATTAATATTCCATGCAATTTGTTGTTACCCGTCTACGTTTTCTCTCCGTGCACTAGAAACGCATGAAATTATCATAAAAATTCATATTAAACTTTCTAAAACAAAATGTTAGTGCAATTAACATTATAAGAAATGTCTAAAGTGAGTTTTGTAGTGACATAAGTATGGTCACAAATGTATGTATTATTTCATGCATAAAGTATTATGTGGTTAGAATATTGTGAGTAGTGAGCGAGAAGTTCTATCATGAAGTAAAACTAGATTAAGTTAGTTCAAAACTTAGTATTCTATAATTTGTCTACACTTTTCTTCAATCGACAACTACTTAACGGATTGTTGAATGAATCTAGTTTGATGTCAGATTTTAATTTTTTTCTACCTTATTACCATTTTTAATAATGTTATTACAATATGTTTGGGGTTTTGTCTATATTTTTGTCATTTTAAAGCAATTTATTATATTATACAGATTTGTTGTTCTCTCCCATATATGCATGTATGATCAATTGTATGAGTCCGTATGGAAAGTTGTATGTGTAAACGAATTATAAGACTCAACTCACGTAAAATCTTTCGGTGACAGCACCGACTAGTGTAGTTACGTGAGTATTATTGCATGAGAGTGTATGAAAATTTGTATGAGAGAGTATGAACAATATGTGCAGAAACAAATTAAAGGATGCTTAACTCACATATAATCTTCGGTGAGAGCACCGACTAGTTTAGTTGTACGTGTATGTTGTTGTATAAGAGTGTATGAGACTACGAATAGTTGTATGAGAGTATGAACAGTAGTATGTTAGTGTATCAACAGTTCTGAGAATGTTGTAAGTACGTGTATAAGCAGTTGTATATTCGTGTATGAGTGTTGTATGAGCGTGTATGAGCAGCTGGCCTGCACTCACTGACCAGGCACTTGCCGAGGCGGGCGTAGCGCGCGCCGTCCTGCACCTGGTACACGTAGATGAAGTTGTCTCTGGAGCCGAGCGCCACCAGCTCGTTGTTGGGCGAGTACTGGATCGTCTGGATCGGCTCCGACCTGTAATATATATAATTACTAAATTACTAATACAAAATGTATTGGACTTTAATCTAAAGATAATTTTAAGACTTCAATTATGTCATGACACACGTAAGACCGCGGTGGCGTTAGTATTCTGTGAACAGCAAATCTATACTAATATTATGAAGAGAAAAGTATTTTTGTATTCTTGTATGTATTTAAATAACTCAAAAACTACTAGGACGGTTTCGAAAATTCTTGCAAAAAAGCTACGTTATAACTAAAATAGGCTATTCTTTTATATATTCACGTGGACGACATCGCAAGCAACAGCTAATGTTTTAATATTAGGCAGCAGTGAGAGGATGCTAGTACCCGTCATGATGTGAAGCGAGCAACTCCCTGGAGTGAGGGTCGAAGACCAACCAGCGGCCGGACAGGCAGCCCACCGCCACCGCGCCGCCGTCGCGAGACCACGCGCAGCACTGTGCGCGCTCCTATCAAACATAAATTCGTAAATTAAAAACATATTGTTAAAACTGTTTTACTTTAACTTTATACACAAAAAGAAACAATTTTTAATAAATTCAATTGTCGCTAGATGGCGTTGTCATTTTTTTTAATTAAGCCGTTAGACAGCGCTGTTACTTATTTACAAGTTAAGAGTTAACGCGGAAATTTATATTTCAGGCAATAGATGGCGCTGATTTCTAATTTTTGACTGCAATTTTTAATTCATGGCCTATTAGCTTTGTTTTGAAGAGTTACGATTATTGGTATGCAGTATACCTCGATGTCTTTACTCCAGACGGTGGAGTGGCTGAGGCCATCCCAGAGCTGCAGTAGGCGGTCCCAGCCCGCAGTCACGAACTGCGGCAGCGAGGGATGCGTCGCCAGACCCCACAGCTCCTCCACGTGACCTGGCAACAGAATAACATATCATTTTCGCTCAAACTACTACAGGACTACAGAAATATATTCTTTATACGTTCCTGTAACTACTATAACAACTTTCTCACTTATGTTGACACATTTACTTGGTGGTCGTTAAATGCGTGATATCCTTATAATTTAGGTAAGAGTTCCTATTGTATTTGTATCCATATATCTTTATTTCTTATTTTTATATATAATATATTTTACATAATGTATTATTAAAAATACGTATTAATAAGTATTTGTATTTTTACTTTTAGTCTACTTCGTATTCACCATATATCCGTACGAAGATGTCTTTTACGTGGCGGTGCGTTCTATATTTTTGTTAGCCTAGCTAACCTCAATTATATGAGTACAAGCCTACTTTTAGTTATCTCGGATACTATTTAAAAATGAAATTATGGTATGAATGTTTTTTTTTTTTCTCCTTGTTGTTAAATGTGAATGGGAAGGCATTGGCTCCTTAAACACAGGATTTCCTAGTTAAGAAGCCAAAGCGATATTGATCATGTAATCAATGTTTACAATAAAGAATCTTTATTATTATCTTAATCTTATTAATATTATAAATGCCAAAGTTTACATGGGTGGATGTTTGTTAGCGTTTGTAGCCTAAACGGCTGAACGGATCTCCATGAAATTTGGCACAGGTTTAGAGCATAGTCTGGAAGAACACATAGGCTACTTTGTATCCCGGGAATAGTTATAGTTCCCGTAGGATTCATTAATTTAGTTTTTTAATATTTACTCGATCATTCTGCAACGGTTCAACATATCTTATTGAAATTTGGCACAGATAAAAAACAAAGTCTGGAGTACACATGGGATAAGCTTCATCCCCGAGAAGTGTCCGGTTCCCGAGGGATACGTAGCTGTTTGTAATTTATATAGTTTGTATGTTTTCGAATACGACGCGGACGAAGTCGCGGGCAACAGCTCGTGATATACAAGAGATGTGAGCAGTTACCGAGCACGGCGGGCGCGAAGCCGAGCTGCAGGTCGCCGTGCAGGATGCAGTTGCGCGTGGTGCCGACGTACAGCTGGCTGCCGCGCCCCTCCGCCACCACGCGCACGCCGCCGTAGTGGCCCTCGATCTAAACATTACTTTGTATATTGTTTTGCAAAACTCTGGAAAACTCATCATCAACTTGCCCTTATCCCTTATGGAGGGTCGGCACAGTTGCTGCTCTTCCATACAATATCAGCCTAAAACTAAAACTCTGTAAAACTATCCAAATTAAAATGCTAGGCCTTTTGGAACCACGGCCTTTGAAAGAAATAAATTGCTCCTATTGGTTTGTAGTTTCTGTTCCTTTCCGGCATTATCGTTTTTACTAATTTTTATACCTTAGTTTAATCGTTACTAATATTACAAAGAGGGAACATATGTATTTTTGTATTTATTGAATACAAAAATACATATGTATGTGAATATTATAGTTTATAGCGTATAATGCATGCAGGGCTTATTATTCTTACTATTATCATGAATGCGATAAATAAGATAAATAAATTTAGATGGCTGGATGGATGGATGTTTGTTAGAGTTTTTAGCCTAAACGGCTGAACGGATCTCGATGGAATTTGGTACAGACGTATATGATAGTCTGGAATAACATATAGGCTACTCACTTTTGTTTTTATAATGTCACGGACGGAGTCGCGGGCGGAAGCTAGTAAAAAATAATTGTTAACAGTAAACTGTGATGTGATCAGTAAATCGTAGTTAGATGTGTTCAGTATTGTACTGGCGATACTGACCACGTTCTCGACGCCGGTGGCGTTCATCTCCGAGTCGAAGCTGACGAGGCGGCCGTCCTTGCCGCCGCCCGACACCGCGCCGCCGTCCTTGAGGCAGCACAGCGCGAACACCGGCCCCTCGTGCACGCCGCGCACCAGCTTCACGATCGTGTTGGTGCCGCGCCCCCACACTATTATGTTCCCGTTCGAGTCCCCGGACAGCACGTCGCCTGTCAAACAACGTTCATTCTATAATCTTACTAATATTATAAATGCGTAAGTTTAGATGGATGGATGGATGGATGGATAGATGAATGGATGGATGGATGGATGGATGGATGGATGGATGGATGGATGGATGGATGGATGGATGGATGGATAGATGGATGTTTGTTAGAGTTTGCCGCCCAAACGGCTGGACGGATCTCGATGAAATTTGCCATAGATGTAGAGAATAGTCTGGTAGAGCACATAGGCAACTCACTTTTGTTTTTTTTTAATTCCACGCGGACGGAGTCGCGGGCGAAAGCTTGTTTTATATAATTCATGTTATTGTAACAGAATTTAAACACTGCCACTGCTTCCGGCCAGAATGCCACGTTATTTTAATTCGTATGTTGTGTGTTAGTACTAATTTTATTCTTGACAATACATATAAAATTGTGTTGAATGTAATATCGATTAAAAAAATCCAGAATTCGCGAATATGTTGCTGATAACGCATATCGCATTTAAAAAGTTTTGTCTGTCTGTCCGCAACCCACTTTTGTCCTGGGCAATCTCTCTAACAAGTTTGATTAGATTTTGAATGGAAGGTAGCTGGTTGAAAGTAAATGCACGCGGAAATGTTACAAACGAAGTTTTTTCTTATAAGTCGTAAATCTATAAAATCTGACTCGAAGGACTTGAAGTAACTAACCGTTAGGATTAAATGCCAGGCAAGTGACGTATTTCGGTTTATCCCGTCCCTCAAAGACGCCCATGCGCTTGTACAGCATGTTGGTCTGGTCCAGGGTCCAAAAGGCGATGTGGTTCTTCCCGCACGTCACGATCTGGTTGCGGTCTAGCGGGTGGAACTCCACCGCTACCACGGTGTCCACCGAGCACTGGAAACCAGATTAACTTTCAATAATAATTTGAGATATTAAAGAGTAGTTGACAGGAAATTTGGCCTGAAAAAAAAAACACATTATAAAAATATTAAATCATCCTTGGATTCGAGAATCTACTAGTGTTTCGAGCGTTAAAACTTTTGTTAGCGCGAGCTAACATACTAAAAACTAAGCCCATCAATCTTGAACATTACACTTATACTCTTTGACAACTCTGCAAAAAAGAAACTTACTCTTTGGAACTTAAATTATTCAACAATCCTCCTGGCATAAAAGACAAGCTGGGGGTTCGGCTTCTCTTAAAATAACGTAAGAATTAATAATTTTAACAGGTCCATTTCCGTTGTGTCATACCTTGGTCTCAGCGAGGCAGTGCTTGTCCGGGCGCTGCCAGTCCCACACGGCGATGGTGTGGTCGGGCGCCTCGTCCAGCGCCGCGAGCAGCGCGCCGTCCGCCCGCGAGAAGGCGAGCCCCGCCACGCCGCGCTGCAGCTGCCCGCCGCCCAGCACCGCCAGCGTGGCCAGCGACACCGAGTTCCACACGCGGACATGCGGCTACACACAAAAACATTAAAACCTTAAAGATCAGGGGAAAACTTCAAACACGTCCGACTCGAAAGACCACTTGTAAAATGTTATCTTTAAGTATTCAAGTGAATCTCTTTATGCTAACATTATTCAAAGGGTCTTACACCATTTAACTTCTCTTGCTTATTGCAAAAAGACCACTCACCCTGGCATCGACCCTATCGTGTCCAGCACACTGTCCACTAGCCACAATGAGCTTGTTGGGATGTATAGCAAGACACTTGACGTCATCAGTATGTCCGGTGTAATGCCGCTGGCACTGTTCCTCCACGTTCATCAGCACAACCACCGCCGCCACGAAGTATACAATCTCCCCCGTAGGGAGCAGGTATAGGTTGCTGCGACAATCCTTGCCTCTGCAAGAGCGGATAGCTTGTAACAATTCATTATGGATGGATGGCATCTGGTGACGTCAGAATACTCGTATCTTGTTTGGTGTTTCAGAGAGTGTCAGAGAAAGAAAATCTCAGAAAAAATTTATATTGTTCGAGTTAAAATAAATAAAGTTACTATTGAGACCTTAAGAGCGGGCGCATACCTTTGACTAAACTATCGCACAACTGTTGTGTGCGATATAGTTTCAGGTGTGCCAAGTACCAAAATTTTCTTGTACATGCGATATGAACAATCATTGTTATACTTAAGACCAGAGAAGAAGTATTCTTTTGTACAATACTGGTCTAACAAAGATGAGACCGGTCTAGATTTGTATAGACCGCTGACGCAGTGGTCATCGCTCCACTTACACAGTTGGTCAGCCAAGCGTGACGTTGAGATCCGGCCTTGGGCTACGTGCGTACTCAGAACACAGAAAGCGAAGCAAAAAGACTACACAATGCTTTATTTCTTTGACGATTAGTGAACAGACGGGATTATAGGCAAGCTACAGATAATGTTATTCACATATAAAAAAAAACTTGTGTGTAATTGTTCTAGTCACGTAGACAACCATAATTAGCTCCCGCACCTGCAATCCGTGCGAATTAATATTACGGACGCTCTTCAAAGCTCCTTATGTATTTGCTAATTATCTTTAAACGGTGACTATAACATACTAGTTGTAGCTCGCGATATCGCCCGCGTTGAATTAAAAAAATAGTAAAGATACAGCCTATGTTATTCAGTGATAACATAGATTAAATCGTGCAAGTATTTTTTTAATCGGTCCATTAATATCTGAATTACTACAATACATACAAAAATACAAATCCTTTTAATAGTATAGGTAGTACAGATATAGATGAACTCGCGAAAAACAAATAAGAATCGAGATTAGAAGTCAATTTCGCTACACCAATTACGACATAAAATTCAATTGTAAATCATTATTTAATTGTATCCTATAAACATAACCACTGGTTACTGCGACAACCGTTTTCGAAGGCGTACGTGGGCTGTAAGCAATTCCTTCTTCACGATAATGCCACAATTGGTAAATTGTCCAATGAATTTCAGCTGACAGCTGCAGTAAAGATTAGTTGTATTTTTCCTAGGATCATAGTAAGCAAGTAACTATATGGCTTTATAAACACGTCAACAAGAGTTGAAAATGAGAATGAGAATTGTCTTACTTATAGGGGAAATTAATTATGTATAGACGAGATTTGTAATGTTTGGTATTATAATACGTCCTCGTCATATTCAGTAGCGAACTGCAAGTTATAACTTAGAGTGCTTATAATATTTTTTTTATAGTTTGATTATATTTTCATTAATACATGTATTGTTTTCTTTGGGGACTTTCAACTTAATTGAAGTCATGAACAATGGACATTTTTAATTATGTTACTTGTAGTTAAGTTACATTCAACATTTACGTGTGTAATTTAATATCTATACTATCTATACTATTATAATAAAGCGTAAACACACACTTCTTTGTTGCCTAAGATGTCAGTATTTACAGCATATTTTTGAATAATCCTTTTTTTAATAAAAAGCCCTACACTAACCTCACGCTGTAGGGTATATATTTTCACGCCATTAAACTTAGGGGGTAAATATTTTGGATCAAAACCCTAATGTGGGAAAGAGACCATAAGTTGCTGCCAACATCAACGAAGCAAGATTGTCAAAGTTTGTCATGCCATGGTCAGTTTGACATCTGCTATTGATAATTTGACAAATGTAAACAATAAAATAAGATTTTCATAATTTCATGCGGATGAAGCCGCACGGGAACAGCTGGTATATTAATAAAAACCATTTTGATAGAATTGTTTCTGTTAATTAATAATAATAGATTCAATTAATTCGTTTCAATTACTGTCTACAATAGGGTTGTCACACAATCGGGTTGTACACAGCGTAGTTTGTGACATCGTACTGGGCGCAGTCATAATTGATGTGGGCACTATCTGCCGGCCTTGAGGTGCGGGACTGATCGATATGTTACAGTTATTATGATAGTAAATTACAGACACAAATGTCCTTTATGGAGTTTGGAGTTTAAAATGATTGACATTGTTTGAATTTACAAATTATGTAAGGTCCGCGATAAACCAAAAACTATAATGTCTTGCTAAAACAATTGTTTGATCCCTTATTTTAACTGATTTCATATCAAACATTTAATAAAATTAACTGGCGCAATTAGGATTAAAAAGTGTGATTACCGAACAGATCCTATGTGATTACTAACACCCTATGTAACATTAAACGTCACTAAGAGCTGTAATATCGCTTCAAATACAGTTAAAGTGGTTTCCACTGACCTGTAACCATATACCCATTCTAATTTAAGCTTGCTCTGTGGTGGCGGTGCGACCTTAGCTGGGTCCAGGCCTTCGTGGTCGGAGGGCCCGTACAGCACGACGGGTCGGCCGCGAAGGAACATACGCATGGACCCTTCCTCCTCATTGTATTGACATGTATGGGTACTGCAAAAGACATATAATTGCTATGCAAATTTATTAATTAACGTTAACATTTTAACATATTCTTTGTCATAATAAATCGTTAAACAGGACCAGAGAAAAAAAATCATTTATATTCATTACATACTAAATTAAATTATCGCAATGTCTTTAAAATATCGCACGTATTTGTTTTAAGTTATTTTTTAATTCTTTGGTACAAGAGTTACGTTATTTCTGCAGTACTGAAGGCACACCCAGGCCAATCCTACAGACATCGTAAGGTTGAGTTTAACTTGGGTACGGCAAATGAAAAAAAAAACATTGCAATATTAATTCCTATTTCAAACAGTAATATATTACCAGAAAAGTATGACTCTAGGTTGATTCTCATATTGGACAATACAAACTTTTTAAAATACTAAGGATTTATACACGTTGGCCATTGGTTGGTCTGTTTGTTACCAAATTTGGGTAAGTATCGATGTAGGTCAAGTTACCTTACCATACGATACCATGTGAGGTCCAATAATTGTCGAAAACATGTTTCAACTTATTAACAATGAGTAAACTGATTTTTATTAGATTCGGGATTCAACAAATATAAACACTTTTACCTTACTTTAATTTTTATAAGCCCTAAATAACAACTTAGTGTTTTTTAACAATATAAGTTAACTAGCTTTCGCCCGCGACTGTCCGCGTGGAATTAAAAAAAAAAAAAACAAAAGTCAGTAGCCTGTGTTCTTCCAGTCTATACTCTAGTTCTATGCCGAATTTCATCGAGATCCGTTCAGCCGTTTAGGGTCCAAACTCTAACAAACATCTATCCATCCATCCATCCATCCATCTAACTTTCGCATTTATAACATTAGATAGATTAGATTTCCCAGTATTTATAACATTGTAATCCAGTATTTGAATGTAAAATTAGTATCTACAAAATCTCCATGCAAACACTTCACATTTCTTATCTATGTGAAACGGAACGTAGCTTTCCATTGCCAAAATACCTGAACTATACCTTCGATATTTCATACAACAATAAGAGAGATGAAAATGTTTCCGTTTAGGTATTTAAACAGTGGAAACTCGTTAACACTTTCCCATGACAGTTAGTCACGTATAGGTAAAATGCGGCGGTAAAGCTGTTTGTAAGTGTGTTAGTAGGTGAGAATAACTTGCGTGTGTTAAAGCGTTATTTTTAACTGATTTACGGTAAAATTGTTAATATTTTAGTGCGTTATGTTACGTGCGTGCGTTAATAAACCTTAAATATTGTAAAATTAATAGGCAATTTAGAGAAGTTGGTTGTGTAGTATTTTACAGATGGCAAACGTTATTAATAAATGATTTAAAACGCTTAGAAATACATGTATGAAAAATTACTTAATATTTCCTTAATTAATTTCTCGAATTGATAGGTTAATTATCAAATTATTGAACAATTTTTTTTAAATATACATCGCAAACAACAATTTAAAAACGTCAGGTATCGCACAGATATTTGACAGCATGCTGTGTACAAAATAAACGTTAAATATACTGAGAATTCACAATTAGCATCAAACTCCCACTTACACTGGGGTGAATGACATCTCTAGTTGTTTTAAAAAAATCAGCTCCGAAACCAAAAAGACGCCTACACGCTGCGCTTCCACAAAGCAGACTACACGAAAATAAATCTAAAATAAAACAAAACAAGCATATATCGTTATCTAATCTAGATATCTGATTACGGTTACGGCAGTAAACACTATTATTACCTTTCATCCATGGCGGTAAAATAATGACAGTTGTTTTTTTAATTTCCTATCGGGCAAAGGAATCGAAATCGGAATTAAAACTTTTTAAAAACCGGTCCGCGCGCTAACTCCGTGCAGCCAGTATTAAGACCAGTCTCAGACTGCGCGTTCACGGGAATAAATTAAATACTGGCATGTAAGAACTGAATGACCTTCGTCGTTGTGTAACATCCATTGTCGGTTTTACTAAGCTATTATTCTCCTTATATACAACAAAGTAAGCAATGTACAGGGTTAACTTTGTAAAGTCGATTTTACGTAGAATTTTCAGAAATAATGTCATCCAAAGATTAAATAGTTTGAGTATTATAGTGTCATACTTCGGCATAGTGAATCATTTTGTCAACGTAGACTAGATGACGTAGCTTTGAAGAAAACTTACCATTCCACAAGGAAAACAACTCTATATTCTGACTATAAACACTAACATGTGGTTTGTATTGCACTGAGGTCACCAAGACATGTTGAAACCGCAGAAATATTATACATATCTCAGGTTGATTGCTATCCACGTTGACAAGACAATCATCTGCCATCTGTCTCATGTTCTGTGTGTAGTTTGTGGTAATAAAGCAAGAGAAAATATAAACACGTTATTTTTAAAATTTAGAGACGCATTTGAGTAGAAATTTTTATTTCCATGATCGCTGTTTTTAACATTACTAACGTAGCAATTAACTAAAACATTGTGCGTATTTTTCACAACAAACGGTGGGAAAAATATTAAAGGATTTCACATCTCACTTGTAATTATGAAATTTAAAACATATTAGCGTGAAAGTGTATTTGCAAACTGTCAACATACTTGCGGCTTTTCCCTCGCTTCCTGTTCAACAACCATAAAACTATCAATACATTGTATTAAAAAACGTAGAAACCTATTAAAATATACTTGCCGTGGTCGGTAATAGACCTATTAAAATACTTTCCAACATCCTTAATCCCCTACTATATATTAACCAGTTAAAAATTGAATGACCCCGGTACATGTCAAAAAAAAACAGATGCGCATAGCTGTCGTTGCGATAAATCTAAGCGTGATCTAGGGCAAAAATTAATATGGTCTTATGTAGTTGCAATATCTATTTATATTTTATTTATTAGGAAGGGGCGACGCTCATTGAGACTAAAAAACTTCAATTTCATTGATTTTCATTTATTATGCTAAGAATCTAGAAAATTAATTGAATAGTTACTTAATATTCTATGCAAATAAGACCTAAATTTACAAACCCAATACAATGTTATTGAAATAATCCATATTGATTTAAAAATTTTTTTCTTGTTAGTAATGACACAAAATATTAGTATGAACCCATCACCGTGTTAAATGCGTTAATAGGAAAAAAGAAAGTCGATAGAAGACAATAAAGCTTCCCAACCACCACCATAATCAGACTTACCCATGTTTCAATATGGGTCCATTTTGCGACGGCTTAGAATATAAATTTAGCAAGGATTTTGTTGTTGTAAATCTAAGGACGAACAGAAACATAGATTAGATTTAGACTGGACATCTAGATAGATCTTAATCTAACAAACGTAAAAGTATATATAAAGAAAAAAGAAATAATAATAGTAAAAGGTAAAAGGTGACCACTAGTTGCTTGAGTCACCGGATTCCGCAGCCGGTGGACCTCTATTTTTTTATATAATATGTATTATTTTGTTATTTTTTTTAAAAAAATCATGTGAAATATATTATATATAAAAATAAGAAAATAAAGATATGAAGAATAGTAAAAGGTAATAGTCTTTTTATAGCTAATTTAATAGGCTTCTTTATTGTATAAATATAAAAATAGCCTGGAGAGTCTAGTGAAAGTGTTTGGTAAGATAATGAATTGGACATGTTTTGCGTCTAGTAACAAAATACTACGAATGTTTTATGGCAGGGGTAGCGAACATTGCGTAATGTTTAATACGGTCTTAGAAGTGCCATCGAATAATTTTCACTGCGATTATTAAGTCAATTCCATGGACTTTTTAATTTTTTCATTGTGTTTTTATGATTATTAACAACCTTACAAATAAACGGGTATATAGGTAACCTTAGGAATAAACTGAGTATAACCAAAATTTGTAATTATATTTGCTTATACTCAGTTTATTCCTAAGTTTAACTTTATACCCATTTATTTGTAAGGGTGTATGTTGTATGCCATTCATGGCACGCGAGCCTTTGGTTCGCCACCCCTGTTTTAAATATTATTTATGATATGGTACTAACCTGCTACTGGGTAAAAGACCTTGAGCATTGAAATCTCCCGTCGAGTTCCATCTCTTAGTGAGGGTGTTGGCGGCTGATGCACTCTGGTTGCTCGATGTCGAGTTATTACGGGATCTACATGGTGTTACTACTTGGTGAAAAGCTCAGGGATTATGTGGTAAAAGTTGACGCAACAGTTTATGAACACCACTGGATAATAAACGGTCAGGGCCGAGGCTCCTGATGGAGCCCTCGAGCTTAGTTACTCAACGAGGTTTGGGCTAAGCGCCATCTGCGCTCGGCCACCTCAAACCTGGTGAATCTGTAAATGCCTCCTCAAAGCAAACAGTGGCCATTCAGTCACAAAAAAAACTGGATAATAATTAATTCGGATATTTATCTAAGAATTGTTCAAGATAATACGTTTTACAGATACTTTGTGCCAACTTCTATCACATTATTTTGTATACAAATTAAACTTTCTAAAAAGCATTTGCTACAATCATTTTAGTAAACACTATAAAATAAATGACGGAAATGTAAAGAAGATTTATTCCTTTAATTTTTTTATATGTTTTGGGTCAGTTGTATTACCCGTTTCAAATATCTTAAACGCTCAAGGTAATTGCGTGCTGCATAGAATCATCTCCCGCATCCCTTTTTCCGAGCCGCCAACATATTTGAAAATATTTTTAATACATTGCTTTTTTCCGTCATTTACATAATATTTAAATTAAATGATAACACATTACATTTCTAGGGATCGCTAATATGCTAACACTATGGAACATAATGATTAAAATAATATGAGAACTATAAATTAATATTTTCAGTTGTTTTAGATAAATGTACTTACAAACATCTAAACTTTTGCATTAATATTAAATATTTCATTACTAATTGAAAAGAAATATTGTTTGTCACCTTACGTTGAAATCTAACATTTTGTACTTAGTCATTTGACGGTCGATATCGGGAATAATAATCGATTGAGTACGATTAGAATCGATTCTTTAGCCAGAGTGACATAGACTATTCGATCTTGTCAAAGAATCGATTCTAAGCGTACTCGATTAATTATCATCCCCGACAAATATTTATTTTTAAATACAAAATGTAACAATGTCCTCCCAGATCGCTCTTTCCTGCATGATGTTCATCTGGCAGTCGACTGCTAAGACATGCGTTTGCAATCTTGAGGTGCCGTAATGTTTGAATCTTGTAATACTCGTGCCGTTTCCCGAAATTACCTGTACGTCTGTGGCGGGTGTGGCGCGAGGTGCGGCGCGGGGGTGGCACGCGGCGAGGGTGAGGGCGCGGGGGAGAGTGAGGAGGACGAGGCAGGGGAGTCTGACTGCAGCGACCCTGTCGACTGGTGCTGTGGGCCGCGTCTGTAAGTACAACATGTAACGTTAAAAATATTATTCTCAGAAATCAGTAAAGTCTGAAAATTATTTTTTTTTGAAAATCTCTGTTTGATGAATATTAATCTGATTGAAAATGTTTTTTTTTTTTAATACCAATGAAACTTCAAAACGACTAGTACTCATATATGCGAATTTTTACTTGTTTTATTTTTTTTATTCGCTGAAATATAGTAAAAAAAAAAACATTATAGTAATTTGATATTACCTCTGTGGTAGTGAAGAGGCACTGGAGCCGTAGCTGGAGGTCCTCTTGGCAGTCTCTCTGTAGGAGGGCTGTCTTAACCGGACCTCCCGTGTCGGCGTGCCCGTCGACCCTGAAACCAAATAAACATCGATTTCTTTATCTGCTTCCTTATTTAATGTTATTAGAATTAGAAGATATTACTTCTTTCCTTTTCTTACAAAAAACATATTTCTACAGGAAAAAACGTACCTATTTGTCAGTAGAAATTCTTTAGGTTATTTATTTAATTAGTAAATCGTTTCTCACCTGAATAAGCACCGTTCCTGTGTGTAGGCGCAGGTGCGGGCGCTCTGCCCTCGAGTGCGTTCAGCCGGCGCAATGCGTCTGCTAGCGTGGAGCGCAAACACAGTAACTCCTCGGCCTGCCGTGCGCACCGGACCTCAAGTTCAGCTACTCGCGCCGCCAGACCCGCCCCCTCCCCTTCTAACATCTCATCTGGAATTAAAAGGAACAAACAATTTATTACACATAGAACATTCTGTCGATCATAATCCCATCATCCTCTTCCTTATCCTTCTATTGTAGAGTCGGCGCAACAGGTGTTTGTCCTCATAACTCTATCATACTTCATCTCAGTCGTCACTCCCTTCTTAAGTCTACCTCTACTGGTGTACTCTTCCGTCGTATTAAAATATTTAAACATGATTTCAATCTTCCAGAATTCTGAATGAGTTCTAAATTTCCTTTTAAAGCGTCAACCTTTTCGTATACTTTGCTCAACAGAGCTGTTTGCCAACGCTTTGCTGGCCACACATTTCATTTGCGGCCGAACGGAACCGTTTTGCGAAGTCGTTTTACAACTGTTGACATCTCATTGTCTTCAACAATGCGAGCCCAATTGTGTGTAGAAAGCATTCCGGGCGATTTTAGCCTCTATTGTTCATTATAACGTAATCCAGAAGGAAGTTGGAGTATTGTGTAGCTTGCGAAAGATAAATGACATTAGATATGATGAAATATTTTATTGTTTGCGGTATGATCCTATTTACTTTTAATACATCAATTATATTATGTAATTTGTTTATATATAATGTAACATATCAGTTAATTGCAATGTTGCTTACGTTTTCAAATTACATTGCTATTTCAATTTTATAAATACAAAGATGCAAACAAGCGAGTGGTTAATTAAAATCGTCAGTGGCGAATTTACAGTTGCCTATACACATCTGCGATAAGAAGCCAGTTTTAATGGCGCTTTACTTGTTGCATTTGTTTGTTTGCACAAGCAACTGCTTATCCACTTAAATCTATACACGAGCAAAAATACCTTGTCTATACCATCATCATACTTCTTTTTAGTATTGGAATCTACGCTGTTATAAAACTTGTATAAAAACATTTGCAAAGAGAATGGGTTTGACATGTTTATATACAAGTGTATTGACAGTATAAATCCATACACTTACACCAAGCTGTGTAAACATCGTTCATCGTGTCCCCGGGGGAGTCGCTCGCCCGGGAGCTCTGTTGACTGTCCATCTTCTCTATTATTTATACTTTTAGCAATAAGTTCATTATTTTCACTTAAGAGTTATCACAGCTGGTGATATAATGGTTTTAAATGATGCAACTGATTCTAGATGTTAGTTACAACCTGGCTTTGTTTAACGAAGTTAGGTTTGTCAGTAGCGCCTTGAACTTAGGCTCACTACGACGCAATAATTATAATACCTGTATTATATTAACTTTCGCTTATTTTTGTAAAATTATGCTTTTGTTATTTGACAACAATTAAGTACCGTTCCATTACAAAGGTTTACCGTGTTGTATTATTTGGTCATTGACTACATTTTTTACGTGTTTAAACTACATATGTTGTTTAGTATGATTGTTTTAAATTGTTTAACATGACCTTTTTGTTCTGAATTAACAATGGTTTTGGTTTACCGTAAAAAACGTAGTCGCTCGTGTATGAGACCGGAAAGAACGGTAACGTAAGTAAAACATGTAACATTGTTAGGAGTTCCGTATAATAAAGATATAATTTATTATTACAGATTTTTGGATTACTGAGCTTTATCTAATTATTTTATGTAAAAATTTACTAATAATACTAGTATATTAATAAGTTTATTACTACTAACTGCTTGCTAAATTATTTTTTACAATTATACAACAATAAATGGTTTTATGTCGTAAAATTACGGATCACTAAAACGAGAGGAACTGCTTAATGACAGGGATTTTCCTTTGCAATGTAGAGCTGGATTTAAAAACGCATCAGAATATCGTTAAGTTAGCTAAGTTAGATGCTTGGTGGGAGCGGGACCTTGCCGTTTGCTCGCGTGACCACGAAATTAAAATTTTAAGAGAATGTCTACATAAATAAAAAAATATTTGAAATGAGCGTACCGTATGTTGCCTTTTTATAATTTTACCGATGCACTGCCAAATTTATTTATGATTAAGAAGGCTTTCATGAAGCAATCTTAATATTATTAAAAGAATTTAAGAAATGAATGTGATAATGTTTAAACAATCCTGTAATTTTGACACAATATCATAGTGAACCGAGTCTATGTTATGGAAGTTAAAACACATTATAAATGCGTGTATAAAAAGTCACGTACAGATTATTATTAGTAAGAACTGGTAAACAAGAGAACATGTTTTTCATGTCAACGGTCAACGATTACATCATGGGTTTTGTATTTCCATAAGCGTTAACAAACTTACAATATTATCGTTTTCAATTAATACAGAAAACATAAATTTCATCATAGCTCAAAGGTAAAACAAGCTGCCATCATTATTATGATTTTTTATGAAAATTCAACCATCTCTACAATAATCACAAATATGTCTCAATAGCAATGACAAACACAATTCAATAAATTACATTAGTAAAGAAAGCCTTTAAATATCCCGTGAAAATGTACAAGTCATCACTTTATAGCTATCCGGGGAAATCATGGCGGAGAAAACTAGAAAATAGATAATATATCGAAACGAAAGTTCTACAAAACAAAAGTCATGCTATTATTCGAATGGAATTTTTCTTTATCACTTTTTATTTCTATTTTCTATTCGAGTTTTCATATCGAAACATTTGTAGCATTGTCATTCCTCTCATTCTGATGAAATAGATATAATATACAGAGGGTCTATCACGAATGTATTCTAGAAAGTTTTCGTGACATTATCGAGTGTTGTCTGTCTGTGTATTGTCGACGACGTTACGAAAACATTCTCGCAATCTTTTTGTGATAGGCCCTTATTCTTTTAAAATAAACGACATTCTTTCTTGTTATTGGTACAGAATGTAAATTGAATGAATAAATAAGCAAACAATAAAGCCAGTGAATAATGTACAAAATCTGTTTATATGTGATATTATGTTTGTAATAAACACACTGAAATGCAGAAGAATACCTAATAAAGAAACAAAAACAATAAATGTTTCGAGAAATTATTTATCAACGAATGTATGTAAGTTACACATTATCGTATAAATTCTTACATAAACTTATAAAGTTATCTTAACTTTTTGAATGCACTTATGGCCGGTTTCCCAACTAATTTTAACCATTCGTTAGTGTTTTTAGTTCGATAAATTCATGAAATGTGTTCCCCAACTTCATATCTTGAGTTTTACTCCGTTATAACATAGGTCAACTAACTACTAACACTAATGATGACATAAGTGTTAACTTCAGAAACCCGGCATTAATTATTTAACCTTTTATTTTGTAATTATTATGAAAATCCTCGGCATTTATTCCAAAATAATATAACGAGAAAGGTTAATTAAATACCAGAGTGTCAGGGTGTTATATCACCGTAGAGGTCCACTGTCGCACTTGTATATTGCACATTGTATGCTTCAATACATGCGATACGGCAGTGAAACTACAAACTGGCTGAATGGACGTGACCACAGACATCAGGAAATCTTTATTTGGTAAGAGTGGAACCGGTTTACACTGGTTCGACCGGAGTTGCATGATTTATTGGCGGTCACTATTGTTAAATTAACGTAAGTCAATTGTTATTTACTGCGATTATTTTATTGTATGAAATTACATTCCTTTTTAAAGGGAATGCGATATAATACATACGTCTTTGAGGTAAGAGCTTATTGTTGTGAAAAGGTTAAAGGATTCCATTAGTAAGTGTTATGAATTTACTTTTTTCCACTTTCTGACGACGCCCATAGTGCAAACTCCTTCTAAAAGACACTTGAGGTTAGATTTAGACAGAATTTTTACGTTTTATTTTAGTGATCGTACACATCAACCTTAAATAAGGACGTGAGATGGTATCGCTCATAGCGCTTGGAATTCGCAACGGTACTAGTAACATTTGCATCCAGAATTTGCATGTTTTGTAATTCACGAATTCTCCATAACTGTACATACAGTCTATATTAAAACTTTAGTTAGGCACTTCTTATCTTATCGTACTTTAATAATTTAATCCTTTGTTTTGAGTTAATATTACAAGAAACGAAAAATTTTGTTATCTCAAATAAACGCATCACATTATCTGTCCTGACCTGCTCTATTTACAGGCTAAGAAATAAATAAACATCCGCTGTACATGCTGTTTGATTAAAATTTATTTTTAGAAGAGTATCATATTTAGATCCTATCCAACACTGGCTTATAGAGGCTCAGATAGCTAAAAAATGACGTCACTGTCAGATAAGGTAACAAAATTCGATAATGCCATCACATATTTTTCACATTGAATTGTGGGACAGGCCCTTAAAGCACATATTAACGCAATAAAACCTGACAGTTTCGTTGTCATTTTTATTGCGAATACTATATAAAGAAAGTTTTCTGTCCTTATCATTGACATACTGTTAGAATAAGACAGCATTCTCACGCCGAAGAAAGTTAAGGTCGTGAGAAGATTTCACAGAAACCGAAGCTATTTGTTATGTTTTTATCTTTGCTGTTACTAGATATCGCAATTTAGTTTCTTCTGGTATTTTCTTATCCGTTTCTTTAAATAACCTGCAGCATTAATGACTTGAACTGCCTTGCCCTTTAGATATCGTCCGCGACCTTCCTTCATGCAAATCGGTAATGCGGTTGGAATCCGCGCCGTGGCGTTGCTATCGCAAACCAGTTTGCGAACCCTTTCGCTGCTTGCATTGCTTGAAAGCTCTAGGTTAAACTTGTAATACGAGACAGTTATAAAATTGTTGTTTATTATTTGGAATGTATTAAAAAGTAAACTATTAATACAACTACACAAATAGGAGACTTGCAATCTATTTGTAACTTAAATAGACATTTAAAACCTAAACTAAGATGTAAAAGACTTGGTTTTGCCTTTGACTAAATATTAACATTTCTTTGCGAATAATATTGCATTATCTGTGGTAGATGTTACCTAGACGAATAACGAGATATTATAGGTTTAAAAAACATCTAACTTCGTGTCCTTAGTGGTGACATATTCGAGTTTAAACCCACAAGTCA